TTAAACACCCACCTCATACTTAACACCATAAAGATAATGCCGCCATATCTTAAGAGAAAACACTACCACTGCCAACTCCAAATCATGTGTTGGATAATTCCTCTTCTTATCGTGCATCAATACCACACCCAAACTAGAATGTGAAGCATCACAATAAATAATAAAATCTTTACCTTCCATCGGTAATGCTAGAATAGGTGTTGTGGTCAAGAGAGTCTTGAGCTTTTGAAAGCTCTCCTCACATTTTTCAGTCTATTCAAATGATATCTCCTTTTTGGTCAAATTTGTCAAGTGCGTGTGTATAGAAGCAAAGTTCTTCACAAATCGATGATAGTAGCTAGCGATCCCCACAAAATTCCTAACTTCAGTTACAGAACTAGGCCAAACCCAATTCTTAACCGATTTAATCTTTTGGGGATCTACCATTACCTCTTCTTTTGAAACCACATGCCCCAAAAGGGCAACCAAAGTCAACCAAAATTCACACTTAGAAAATTTCGCATACAACTTTTGTTTCCCAAGAAGACCCAGAACAATACGAAGATGGTCAGCATGCTCTTCCTCACTTTTCGAATAAACCAAAATATCATCATCAATAAATACTATAACAAATGAATCAAGAAATGGTTTGAACACACCATTCATCAAACTCATAAAAGCTGCAGGCACAATTATCAACCCAAACGACATGACTAGAAACTCATAGTGCCCATAGCGGGTTCTAAAAGCCGTCTTGGGCACATCTTCAGGCCTAATCTTTAACTAATGGTAGCCAGACCTTAGATAAATTTTAGAGAAAACTGATGCACCTTGCAATTGGTCAAAAAGATCATCTATTTGAGGCAATGGGTACTTGTTTTGAATGCTGACCCTATTCAATTACCTGTAATCTATACACATCCTCTCTTGCTAGCGATGGTGTTTCCACTTTTGTTGCTCTAGTTCGGACCATAGAGTGAAGGAGGAAAGATACCAATTTGTATCACGCAGATACCAATTGGATTCAAGTCATAGCACGAAGGAGTAGAAACAAGTGAGTTTTTCCTAAATTTCTATGGCCTCTCGAAGAAAAGTACAGACGTCTTCGTACCGTTCCGCAAGACTCTACTAGACTCATTTTGGTACATTGAAATCAACGAACCTAGGGCTCTGATACCAACTTATCCAGACCATCGTAATTGACACCCACACTAACCCTTCAGTGGTAGAACCATTAATACTAATTACCTAACCAAAGAACTACATAACTTAATCAAAACTAAGGCATTTAAAGTTACAGAAGCAAGTTTAAATGACCAAAGAAATATGTAGTTCCCATAAACTCCAAAGGTTTAAACAAATAACTAACCAAACTAATGCGGAAGCTAAGTCTTAACCCCTGGAACCTGAAAGTCAATGTACCAAAACTCTAGTAACAACAAGTTTAAAACAAACGGTGCAACCCAATTAAACATAAGAAATCCTAATGTACTAGTTTAAGTCTGGAATAGGGAGATAAACGAAAAGAGAACTCATGACAGCCCGGAAGAATTGGCTCACCCTTGAATTCGATGACGATCACTGATCTTCTAAACGAGGTATGTCAATAGCCGCTTGAAGATGCTCTGTACTCAACAAAGAAAGAGCAAGTGTTGTATCAGTACACCACCACAGTGCACTGGGAGGATCACACGACTATCCCACTAAGTGCAACATACATAAGCCATTACAACTTAATAATAACATGCACACACCGAACATATACAGTATCAACATCATTTACAAACAACGTACAATTTCACAATTCCTAAGATATACAGTTATGTCAAGTCAATGGTCCTCTCACAAATTCCACACCCAAACAGTTAGTGTATCGGTACGTGGTACCCGTTGCAAGTTAGTGTGCTGGATCGTGATACCAATTCCAATGTTTATAGTGGTATGTGACAACCGATCCCAGTTAGTATGTCGGAACGCAACACCCGATCCATTCAACAAGCCACAATCACATTCACAAGTATATTCTCATAATCATACAATCAAGTCATCATTCATGGCATTCAAATATCCGTATATCCTCATTTACGATTAGTGTGATCAATAATGTAAAATTCACATATATCCATATATCATAATAAAGCAAGAACAAACAGATATCACACAACATGAAATCAAAACCATTACCTACCTCGAACAAAGCTTGAAATCCCCTAAGAAACTTGATTCTTCCTTTTTCGGATTCTTTCCGCTTGTTCTTGGTCTACAAACAATCAATATAATGTTAGGATCAATAATCAAGACTTAATTACCAGGATAATTGTCAATAATATCAACCCTAGGTCAAACCCTTAAATCCAATATCCAAATTAGGGCTTTTCCCACCATCCAAACAGTTCCCAAACCCTTCAACAATAATAATTACCTACGAAACTAAGTTCTACAGATCAAAAAATGGATTATGGGAGTGAAAACCTTACCTTTAGCCTAAAAAATGGTGGAAAACTGTCAAGAAGCACCTAGGGTCGTTCTTTAGCTCTCAAAGTTGAAAAGTGCAGAATAAAACATTTTTGGGGTTTATTTCTGACTTAAATCGAGACTGCCCTGCCACATCGGACCTCATTTCGCTACAACTGCCTCGCCCTGTCGGGAATAATCCCATCTTGGCGGCTTGCACGAAACAGTGAGCTAAATTCAGAGCTTCAAACCTCCATTTCACAACACACCTTCAAACATGACACTCATAAAATACCTGTTCACGCTAAGATCAGTTTCGGGAGTTTTACTCACCCGAATTCAATTCCGTAATGTAACACGAGTGCCTTAACGTCTTAGCTATCTACTCATGTGATCAAAATCATAGTTAGATCACCCAATTATTACTAGATTTTCCTAGACCTTACTGACTCTGAATTCATCCAAATCTGGACTAGGCTAGGAAATTCCAAGTTACGACTCAAAAGTTTTTCTGGTCCAATTCTTTCGCCATTGGCTTTTTCCTAACGACGAAATTAGGTCATTACACTAAAAGACAAGAGAGAACACTAAAATAAACTTTTTAGAAATCCAAAAATTCGTTGTATTTACTTATGTAAGATACTTGGAAATATATTTATTTGTAGATGATAACATTATTCGCAACATGGATGTTTATATTTTACTTGCTCAACTTATGCAGTGGCAGAGCTAGAAATTTCATGAAGGATGTCCAAGCATTACATAAGCAATTTTTTTTTTGATGAATAGGTGCACTGAAAAATTTAAAATCAAACTACGTAATATTAAAAAATTTATGAATAAATGTTCCAAAATTTTAAAAATCAAATTGCGTGTTATTTAGCTTTAATATTTGTATTTAATTTAATATGAAGTAAATAAATTAAGAAAAAAAAAGAGGTGGTGATGGTGGTGGGAATTCAACTTAAAATGAAATCATTTTTTCTTTTCAAGCTTACATTGATCTAAGTAGTGACAATAATAATGAGACATGAAAAATGAAAGCAGAATCAAACGAGACCTTTTATTTGCTTTTAACAATGTTATACAAATCTAATCTAAAGTGGTGGCGAGAGCAGAACATCCTAAAACTCACGGAGTAAAATTAATTATGAATCTTGCATTATAACTTGTAACCACAAAACAACAAAAAAAGTACAAATCTAAGTAGTAACACAATTCGATAGGCAATTCAAGCACAATCAGATACAAATAACTGGTTAGAATTTCCAGTGAGCCATTATATATAGGGAAAAAGGACAAATATACCCTCGAACTATCGTATATGATGATATGCAAATACCCTCCGTTATACTTTTGGGACATTATTGCCCCTGCCATCCAAAAACTAGAGCATATATACCCATTATACTAACGGACATATACGTGTCATAATCTTATCCACAGACCCAATATTTATTAAAGGGAAAAAGGACAAAGATACCCTCGAACTATCGTAAATGGTATGCAGATACCCTCCGTTATACTTTTGGGACATTGGTGCCCATGCCGTCCAAAAATTAGAGCATATATGCCCTTCACTCTAACGGAAGACTAAATAGGGACATGTGGCGCAATTTTATCCATCAATTTGATATTTAATAAATGTCGGGTCGGTGGATAATATTATTACACGTGTATGTCCGTTAGTATAAGGGATATATATGCTCTCGTATTTGGATGGTAGGGGCACCAATGTCTCAAAAGTATGACGGAGGGTATCTGCATACCATTTATGATAGTTCAGGGGTATATTTATCATTTTCTCCTTCATTAAATATCGGATCAACGGATAAGATTGTGTCACGTGTCCCTATTTAGTCTTCCAGTTTTTAGACAACAGGAACCCCAATGTCCCAAAAGTATAATGGAGGGTATCTGCATACCATTTATGATAGCTCGGGGGTATATTTTTATTTTTTTCCCTTATATATATAGTTCTAGTACAATGTGATTTATAACATTTTTGTCTAGTCACCCACAAAAATGTTATATAAAAAAAATCTAACTTGATAGAACCTTGTGCAGGTTAAAGGTAAAAATTCATATGATTTCAGCATAAATAACTTTAAGCCCCAAGAGATATAAGAAACGTACATTATGAAAATATATCAGCACAATATATTGTGTTATATTATACAACAAAATATTACATGATCAACCATACATATGAAACTCAATACCGTTTTATTCATACGATTTTTTTAGCAAGGTTTAGAGTAGCAAGACTATTACTATTATAGATTGTGCCACTACGTACAACAGTTTTATAATATTACATGATGATTTGTTATGAGGCAATTGGCTAATATCCATCACTAGGGGGTTTATAATTGTAATGTGGAGGGTTATGTTTGCCACCTGGAAATTTGTATTCGTCACTAGGAAGTTTATATTGGTCACCTGGAGGTTTGTATTCATCACTAGGGGGTTTATATTTGTCATATGAGGGGTTATGTTTGTCACCTGGAGGTTTGTATTCGTCACTAGGGGTTTATATTTTTCATGTGGAGGGTTATATTTGTCACCTGGAGGTTTGTATTCGTCACTTGGGGGTTTATATTTGTCCTGTGGAGGGTTATATTTGTCAACTGTAGGTTTGTATTCGTCACTAGGAGGTTTATATTTGTCATGTGGATGGTTATATTTGTCACATGGAGGTTTGTATTCATCACTAGAAGGTTTATATTTGTCATGTGGAGGGTTATATTTGTCACCTAGAGGTTTGTATTCGTCACTAGGAGGTTTATATTTGTCACCTGGAGGTTTGTATTCATCAATAGGGGGTTTATATTTGTCATATGGGTTATTATATTTGTCACCTTGAGGTTTATATTCGTCACTAGGGGGTTTGTATTTGTCATGTGGAGGGTTATATTTGTCAATTGGAGGTTTGTATTCGTCCCTAGGAGGTTTATATTTGTCATGCGGAGGGTTATATTTGTCACCTGGAGGTTTGTATTTGTCACTAGGAGGTTTATATTTGTCATGTGGAGGATTATATTTGTCACCTGGAGGTTTGTATTCGTCACTAGGAGGTTTATATTTGTCACCTAGAGGTTTGTATTCATCACTAGGAGATTTATATTTGTCACCTGGAGATTTGTATTCATCACTATGGGGTTTATATTTGTCATATGAAGGGTTATATTTGTCACTTGGAGGTTTGTATTCGTCACTAGGAGGTTTATACTTATCATGTGGAGGGTTATGTTTGTCACCTGGAGGTTTGTATTCGTCACTAGGAGGTTTATATTTGTAATGTGGGGGGTTATATTTGTCACCTAGAGGTTTGTATTCATCACTAGGGGGTTTATATTTGTTATGTGGGGGGTATATTTGTCACCTGGAGCTTTGTATTCATCACTAGGGGATTTATAACGTGGACGTTTATACTCATCACTAGGGGATTTATATCTGTAATGTGGGGGGTTTTCTTCGCCACACCGAGGTTTATATTTGTCATGTGGGGGGTTGTATTCACCACTTGGAGGGTTGTATTCACTATGTGGGGGTTTATTTCCACCACTTGGAGGCTTATATCCATTGTTATATGCACCACCAAGAGCTTTATATTTGTTGTTATAATTGTCATGTGAGGGTTTATATCCACTATTTGGGAAATTATATCCACCACATGGAGGATAATATTTGCCACCAAAATATTTATATCCATTGTTATATTCATCCTTTTCATCTCTGGGATATCCGTCAATGTCATTATATCCATCATCGTGTACATCATCCGATTTCATTGCTACAAATATCAAATGTGAAATTTAAAAACTAGCATAACATTGAATAAATGTCATATAATTAGATAAGAAATCCAATATTTCAAATAGATAATTAGTAACCTCAGAGCTTATTATTGCAAAAGTAACCAAAAAAATGACAAGAAACAAAAATGCCTGGGAACCCATCATTTTTTTTCTTTTTCAAAACTTAATTATCTTAATTAAAGGATGAAGAAATTGATACAACATTGAGTTATATTTATACTAAAAAGAATTCAATGAATAAGAAATTGATAAACGGTCACTTATCACTTATCTTGCCCAACCATCACGCATCGATTATATTTTCTTTGTTTCAATTTATTTGTACTATATTTTTAGTTTGTTTTAAAAAAGAAGGAAGTATAGGACCACAATATTTATCTGCATTTTGAGATGTACACTAAATAAAATAATTGTTTATATTTAAAAAATAAAATAGGCATATATTATCTAAATATTTTCTTGTGATGGGTCGGTGAATCTCATACAAAGATGAAATATTTAAAAAAATATATAATTTCAATACTTTACTAAAATCCCTAAGAGTAATAAATAACTAAAAATTATCATTATATTTATCATAATGTAAATTTTGTTCATATTTTTTTTACGTTACTAATAAAAGAGCTTAAATCTTACTTAAACATTAACTATACAAAAAAATAATAATTGAAAACACGTTTTAAAATACGTAAATTTTAAAAGTTTTCCCAAGTAGGTTCTAATTGCTGAAACAATTTTTATTGCGTTACTTTTCTACTTCATATATTTGAAGTATATATTGCTATCATTTTTGGTGATAGGTGATCGATAAGTACCTTCTATTTTTAATTATCCGTTTTTAAATTTGAAATATTTGAGAAAAAAATACTTTTGATAGGGAATACTATAATCCTAAAGTAGACCATTCTTGTTACAGAGGCTAAAGTAGAATTGAGACGTAAAATTGAGACGTCGTATTTCTCTTGAATCTAATACTTTCGATGTGAAGCATAAATTTTATAAATAAAAATTTATAAAAATTGCAATAAGGATATATATATATATATATATATATATATATATATATATATATATGAAGTGATGGTAAATACTATTGCCGGATTTGAATGAAAAAGAGAGTGTCGAACTAATATGGGTAATAATAAAAGCCATAACAATTCCTCTTATAATTCGTTTTTTTTTTTGGAAAAGGGTCTGATATACCTCTAAATTCTATCATTTAGAGCTGATATATCACTCGTTATGAAAGTGACTCACATATACCCCAATGTTATACAAATGACACACATATACTCTTTTCCTCCAACGAAAGAGAAAAAATAATAATTTTAATTTAATTTTTTTAATTATTTTTTTGAAAAAAATATCATCCATATGAGGTATATTAGATCCTCCTAGCTCACATGTATTTTTGTTTTTTTGACTTTTATGTTTCAACGACTAATTTAAATTTATTATTTTGATGGTCAAATTTATACACCCAACTTGTTTACCACCTTATGATGTCATCAAAGTATTTATTTTTCTTTTTTTCCAACGTAGATTGGACATCCACAATAAGTGAATGGAAATTCCTTGTCCATAAATCCAGTACTATTTTTCATTCTGTTTATTCTGCTAGCTGATGCCATAGGAGCTGTCAGGAAGAACTTTAATCTTTGTTCACCAGTTGTCGTGAGCTTTTCTCATAATTACTAATTTGCTTCATCACCATCTTGATAGTTTTGGTCCTTCCACTAGTAAACGGGATTATAAACTTTTCATAAGAAATACTCCATCTGTTTCAAAAAGAATGATCAAGTTTCCTTTTTAGTCTGTTTAAAAAAGAATGATCCCTTTCCTTTTTTGGCAACACTTTAACTTTAACTTTCCACGTAACATGTTTAAAGCCACAAGATTAAAGGGTATTTTGGTATACTTGATATAACTTTATTTTAGAACCACAAGATTAAAAAGTCTACTCTCTTTTCTTACATTTCGTTCCAAATCAAACTAGGTCATTCTTTTTCAAACGGATGGAGTAAGCTATTTAGATATTTAGTTAAAACTTCCGCAACCAGTATAAATAGAGATGGTGATATATAAGGGATCGCCTTGTTTCGGTCCTTGTGAAGATGTAAAGAATATCCCGTCCTAGATCCATTGATAATGACTGAATACCAAACATCTAATTAATACTCGCTCTGTCCCAATTTATGTGACTTAATCTCCTTTTTAGTCAATCCAAAAAAGAATGACACAATTCTATATTAAGTGCCATATCTGCCCAACATTTTTACTCAACTTGTTTGCCTTTGTTTCCTGTAGAATTGAACAGAGTATCAACATATGTTGAATTCTTACACTTTGTTTTGGATGATTGTTACATATTGTTTCATAATGTATTATATTGTGTTGTATTGTATACTACTATATTCTTTTAATGAATACAGTGTTTGTATATATTGTATTGTTCTCTGTCGTTACATAGTATCACACATCCATAATTTGAATGATAAATTTACAAGAAAAGTAGGGTACGGAGTAAAGTTACTATGAAAAGATACTTAGGATAAAATATGAGATATGATTATTAAATGATAAATAAAGACAAAATGAGAACAAAATAGTAAGGTAATAACGCGATTACACCAAATCGGTCGTTACATAAAATGAATCGCCATGACCTAACGATGAATTCAAATGATACGACACAATAGAATTTAAGTAACAATCAAAACAAACATTGTATTTAAACTAACAATACAATACAACGGGTAATAAGGTGTTAGGATCAATTTCAATTTCAATTTCTGCCCATTTTTCAGGATATCAACATTGGTTAATAGTGTCCTAGCAGTTTACATTTTACAATGTCGACAAAACTTAGAAACGTTCTTGTATTCAAGTTTTTGAGTAAAACCTTTCAACGGATTATATTAGATTCATGTTTAAGACAAAACCCAAATCGAATTTAGTTTTGGCTTAGTGAGATTAACCTCCACCTTAACTTTATTCATGCTTGGTCTAGTTTTATTATTTGTAGCGAAATCCATAGAAGGAGTACCAGGGGCGGCTCAACGTACTTGGAGGCCTAAAGCGAAATTTCAATTAAAGGCCTAAAATCTTTTAGCTAGCAATTATTATATAACTTGTTAACATTATTCTATAAGTAATAAGTTGACAAAACAACTTATAAGCTTCTTCTTTTTTTTTTTTTTTTTTGATTTAAAAACACATAAAATAAGTCAATCTAAACAGGCTTGTAATTCACTTTATCCAAAACATGATTTTTACTATTTATTCATATTTTTTTATAGAGCTCTAACTTACCTATAGTATAAAAGGAGTCTAGAAAATTACAGTGCGAGAGTTAGTGAAGAGAATGTAAGAAGACAAAACAAATTTTTCTTGATTTCTTCTATTTATTGAGGTTAAGGTGAATAAAATAATATATATATTTAAGAAAAATATATTTATCTTAGATAATTATTTTTTTCTATAAAAAAATTAACACATAATTTATTGTGGTAAAAATTAGAGTCCCCCTAAAATTGGTGGCCTAAGGCATATGCCTAATTTTTATAAGCATTGAGCCGGCACTGAGGAGTACCGAGGGCCTTAGTTCCAAGTATGACAATGGAACAGCAAACCTGATAGCAAGGGCGGATCTAGATGCAACCAGGGGTTGGGGTTCACTCAAATTCCCGTCGTCAAAAAATCACACTACATATATATAAGGTTAAATTTTGATTTTATAAATATATATATTAAAATGAACCACCCAAAACACAAGTAAGATGTTTAGCTCAATGGATAAGGGAGTTCAAGAATTGGCCCTATGTCATGGGTTTGAGTCTCACGCACAACACTTCTTCTCCTTTTTCATTATCTTTCTCTTTTATATATCATTTTTCTTTCGAATTTGTTTTTGTTTAAATTTATTAGACACATTTTTATTTTAATGCAACTCTTTTTTCATGAACCAACTTAAATAAACTCCTTAAAATGATGAATTATATTAAACTTGAATTTGAGATAGAAATATAATTTTTTTAAAAATAAGCTAAATAGATGTAATTGAATGAAGAAACTTAAAAATCATCAATATCCTTTTAACAATATCAATTTAATAAAATTCACGACTCATTAGCCTCTCTGGTTCCATACTTAGCCCATTTTCTTAGAACCTTCATCCACGCCTTCCAACTACGGCTCGCCGAAGGAACGACGGCTTGTAGGTGGGCTCGTATGTTCCCAATCAGGATCTTTCAACACCACTACTCCAAAACCTATTTCCTGCAAAATTAGATCAAAACACGATTATACCTAATAACAAAAAGCCTAAGACGAAAAACTCCAAGTTTAATGCATCAATGCTCAAATGTATAAAACATACTCTTTCTTTGGTTTGAGATAACTTCTCAAACTATCCTCTTAATAGAGGTAACTGTTAGGGTTTTGCGCTGATTTTCTTACCTTATTTGAAGTTTATTTTTTTCCTAAAAGAAAAGACAAAACATTACCATAAATGTTTTTACTTTTCATGAAAGAAAAATATGTTTTTCTTCCATATTTGGTTTATTATTTCCTTAGAGGAAAAGTTAGGAGATCTATAAATTGAAGACCCTCTTCTCATATATATCAAAACACAATAGCTTCCACAATGTAGACGCTAATTAAGAGTTTAATTTATTGGGAGATTTTCTCTCTACAGTTTCTATGCTTTTGATTAGTTTTTAATTATTTAGGTCAATTGGTCATATCATATAATAATATGTTTCTTTTAGTATAGTTTTATGTGTTGTCTAATTTATCAACCATATTATTTACAATTGTATGCTTACGCATGACGCCCTAATCACTTTCATAACCGAACAAGTGGTATTAGATCACATAGTTCAACGATCCAATGGAACAAAGTTGAAGACATGTTCAAGGCGGTTTCAAATCAATTTGCAATTAACGTGATGATAATGAAGATTTTTATGCTA